AAGAACGTTGCAAACGTAAGTGGCGGTGTAGCTGTTCCGGGCCAGCGTTTGTAGGATAGTAGTAGCCCTCTCGTGAACTGGCTGAATCGGTGGATTTGCGTGGATTGAGAACTGGCTGAATCGCAGAGCTCAGAGGGCTGTGGTCAGTGGCGCAGTCTAGTTGGAGGCCTGTAACTAGCGGTGTCCCCCAGGGGTCTGTGCTGGGTCCAGTCTTGTTCAATGTATTCACCGATGACCTGCGCGAAGGGACAAAGGGACAGAGTGCGCTCTCAGCGAGTTTGCTGACGACACGAAACTGGGAGGAGCCGCTGGCACCCCAGAGGGTTGTGCTCTCATTCAGAGGGACCTGGACAGGCCGGAGAGCTGGGTGGAGAGGAAGCTCATGAAGCTCCACAGAGGCGAGTGCAGGGTCGTGCCCCTGGGGAGGAATAAGCCCCTGCGCCAGTCCAGGCTGGGGGTTGACCTGCCGGAAAGCAGCTCTGCGGAGAAGGACCTGGGAGTGCTGGTCGACGACAAGTTGACCGTGAGCCAGTGACGTGCCCTTGTGGCCGAGAAGGCCGACGGTATCCTGGGCTGCGTGAGGGAGAGCGTGGCACCGGGTGGAGGGAGGCGATCCTCCCCCTCCGCTCGGCCTCGGGGACGCTGCATCTGGAGGACTGCGTCCGGTTCTGGGCTCCCCAGTACGAGAGAGATGTGGAGCTCCGGGAGAGAGTCCAGCGGAGGGCTGCCGAGCTGAGGAAGGGACTGGGGGCGGGCGGGCGGCGGGATCTGATCGAGGCGTGTGAGTATGTATCTGAAGGGAAAACGTCGAGAGAACGGGGCCAGACTCTTCTCCGTGGTGCCCGGCGACAGGACGAGAGGCGACGGGCACGAACCGAGACCCGGGAAGGTTCCGTCTGAGCGGGAGGAAAAACGTCTTTACTGTGAGCGTGACAGAGCACTGGCACAGGTTGCCCGGAGAGGCGGTGGAGTCTCCTTCGCTGGAGATATTCACAACCCGCCTGGACGCGATCCTGGGAAACGTGCTCTAGGTGACCCTGCTGGAGCAGGGGGGTTGGACTATAGATGATCTCCAGAGGTCCCTTCCAACGTCAACCGTTCGGTGATGCTGTGAAGCGTCCGTGTGGCATCAGACGGATTGGCGGCTAGGGCCTGGGCTCAAGGAAATACGCTGGAGCGTTCCTAACTCGCTGTACGGGGATAAATATGGTTCATTTTCAACAAAGCACCCGCTGCGTATTTCAGTGCGATTAAAAGTTTAGCTGGAAGGTCTGTCTTGCGGCTGCGTGTAGGACCCCCTCTGATACGAGGAACAAACTGAAACGATCCTTCCTGTTCGGAGGAGGAGAAACGGATCCCGAAATCTAAACTAGGTTTCCAAATTACTGCTTTGTTGCTTTTTAGTCCGTGGTGCGCAAAGAGTCTATGGTGCCTTTGAACACCGGTGTGCTGGTAAGCCATGTTTGAGTCACCGATTAACTTGGGGGAAATTGCCTCTTTCCCATGTAAATATGCCTTGTTTGCAAGAGCGTGTTTGTGAAGTGGAAAAATCAATAAATGTGATAATTGCTGCAAATCGATGTAAGCATGGTGCTCTGTAAGCTGTGTTGCTTTTCTGTCCTTCCAGATGGAAGAAGATAAGGGTTCAGTCAGCTCAGCACGTGACTTTGCTGAAAGCGAGCGCAGAGGGGAGGACGATAGGCAACTGCTAGATCCATCTAGGCTGCAGGACAGTTCTTACGTTCGCTAGGTAGTACTCTCGCTGTACCCTGATGTGTTTGTGTGTGTATATACGTGTTTACATATCTATGGTATCGAGTCGGTCGTGCGGCCCTCCCCAGAACACCCCTATTTTTGCTATTTGCAAGAGAGCGTACGTCGCAGTGTGGCTTTGGCAGTGTTTTATCGGACTGAATCGCTCTCTCTTATTTGGCGTGTCAAGGGCTTTTTGGTGCATCGCAGGAAATGGCCTGTTATGCTATCAAGTATCGTGCGGTTGTCATCGCGGATCTTACCTTTTGAGAAGACCTTACTTAATTTGCAGCCCCGAGGTCAGTAATAGCAGGCATTTCGTTAGGTTTGTTGAAATTTCTGGGCCTTGGGCCTCCTGCCGTTTGTTTCCTGAGGACACGGTTCGGGTTGTCGGAGACGGTTTTGCTCCGCCGTCTTACTGTGTCGGGCTTTGCTTTGGTGTGAAATGATGTCTGCGTTTGTCCGGGACAGAGAGGAAAGTGACAGAAAGAGACTCTCTGGCATAATATAAACGTCTGTCTCCCAGGCAGCTGGCGTAAATGTAAAAGTCTATATTTGCCGGGCGGTGACACGCAGCGTGCCTACATATAAAACTGCATTTGTTTTCAGGCCGTGTCTGTAACGCTCTCCTAATGTTACTTTACGCTTAACTGGGGATTAGATAGACAGTAAGCATCGCGTCCGAGGTTCTGTAAGGTCACGTTTGCTCTTTGAAAAGAAGAGGACGTTATGCCTTCCGTCAGTCATTGTGCACGTGTGATTTTGAGTCTTTATAGAGGAGTACCTGGCTTGAGAATACCAAAGCGTTTTAGTGAAGAGGAGCCTTCCCCCCCCCCCACACACACACACACAAAATCCGGAGCTGAGGATTCGGTGCTCGGGAGCGGGTTTGGGTGACTTTCTGGTTGCTCTTAGTGTCGGTTTTTAGTGGCGTCTGGGACTGCTGGCTCTCACGTGGGCACGTAGTATCCCCCAGACCTCCTCTGCCCGGGGCTCTGAAGGTTGTGCTTTCCCTCTGCGGTGCCTGGATTGGAGGTGTTTTGTGCTGTTCTGTGTTGCTGCTGACGCCGCACTGGAGATCAGTGCGCACGCTTCAGGGAGCTTGCTTTTGACCGCCTAATTCCTTTGTGTAGTCTGCCGTTCGATATGTTGCGAGTGCAGCGTTAGATCGCCGTGAAGGCTGTATTTGCTGTTTCGGCAAAGCTGTAGATTGGTGCTCTTCGTAATGGTGGTACGTTCCGTGACGGTACCGTTGTGACTAGATAGGATGGCCGTCGACTGAGGAAGTTCCGGGACTCGGGCTCTGCTGACGTTTGCGGTCGCGGTGCGTCGTCGTCGGGTGCGGGGCGTAGCGGGTTGTCTGTTTTGTTTTACCGAAGGCCCCTTCTGGCTCTGTCTGGTGTGGTGGTGGTGGTGGTGGTGCTGCTGCTGCTGTCTCGCAGGGGTTTACAACGGTACCTTGTCCTTTTAAAAGTTGACTTTGTGGCAAGGAGACCTGGAGAGCGAGCGTTAGGGGTGTGGCGGCGCGCGTTCTGAGCGCGCTTCTCGTTTGTGGCCCCTGAGCTCCTGCGACTGAAACGGGTATCAGTTTGTAACGCTGTCTATAGATTAGGGTAGTTGCGAATAGCTGGCGCTCCTATAAGCGTTGTGTTAAGCGGCGTGGGGGAAGGAACCGCAGAGACCGCGGGGAAGCGGAACAGAGCTGAGGGGAGAGGTAGACGTGGGAAGGAGTGCCAGTCTGTGCCGCTTCTGCCCGGGGTGAGCCTCCGTGTTCCTCTCGGCGTGGAAGATCAGGCTGGCCGGTTGGCCCGCGTGCTCCCTCCTTTTCCCCCCAGCTGCCGTTTTCTCCTGGCTTTCCGAGAGCCTTTGGTCGCGATTAGTAGGAAGCGTGCCGTTCTGAAACGGTTGTCTGTGCAGGTGCCGGTTTTGGGGGATTGGGAAGGAGGACGTCTCCGCATCATGGGCCCTGTCGGTAGGGAAACTTGGATGAGGTTCTTTGCCTCCTTGCAGAATTGGGCAAGCGTGAGAGGCGTGGAAAGACGTTAGGTCTGGAAACTGAAGTCTGTCGGGCAGCAGCGGTCGTCCGCCTTAGCTTCTGCCGTAGCGCGCCAAAGCGAGGGGAGCTCTTGAAAGTGAGCTGTGTCCTGCCGTAGGCTCAGACGACTCCTCCCGGACTTTGTCGTTCGCTGCCGACCGAGAGCGAGGCGAAGGTAACGGACGCTTAAAAACGGCCCCTGTGTCGGGCCTTTGACTGACAGGATGCGCTCGTGGAGTTTTTAAGTGAATTAAGAAGCCTTGCCCGCACCCTGTGTTTTTATGTCCTTCCGGAAAGGATAGCAAAATGGATTTCGGATATTCGCTCTCCAGCTTTGCGGTAGCGCAAAATTGCTGTTGGGTTTTAGTTGCGTTGCGGTTGACCAGCGCTCGAGAGTAACGTAGAGGAGCGTGCCGACAGACGGCGTTTAAAACCGTTACGTGTCCGTGTGACTTCTTTCGTTTGATTTGGGTCCCTTTCTCACATACTCAGAGCGGACAGTAGAAAGCGTACTGTGTTAGTTGTGAATTGTGCTTCATAGTAGCGTGAGTCTGACTGAAGTTCCTTAATGTCAGTCTGCCGTTTGTATTTAGACAAAGATCTTTACCAGGGGAGGAACGCGCTTTGGCGCCTTTCCCGAGCTAGGGGGGGTAGTCGTTAGTCGTCTCATCTGGACTAGGGCGTCTCGATCGCTACGGGAAGTAGCGTTCTGTGCTTGTGGAGGAATAATGAAAGCTTGCGATCGGTTTGCTGCGTGTTGTTTTGTGGCCTCGCTCTGAAGTTTGGTCTCTGGATAGAGCTCGCTTTAAATAGCGCAGAGTTGCAGCTTGTCCAGATGGCTGGACCTCCCCTGGGGTTAATCGAGGCATGACGGCTTACGCCGCATGAGGCTGTGCTCCGGAGATTTGCTATAGCTACAACCCGTAGAAGTGCCAGGCAGTTTAGTTCCATCGTCGAGCAGAGACGGTGCGAAACGATCACCGTACTCTTGGCGAGGCCGCGTTCGAACCTTGGCGAGCTCGACGGGCCGAGCGTTTGTGCTTATAGCCCGGGAAATGGCGGTGTTCTTGATTGCTGGGGTTTCCCTGTAAACTTGAAAAATGTTCCGCGCTAGCCTTAGGAAAGTTTCAGATAACGTCTTGCTCGCTAGAGTCGCTCGATACTGATTGTTGTGTTTTTTTTTTTTTTTTTTTTTTTGCCCCCTTCTTTCCAGCTTACTGAGACAGGTTCAGGTGTCAACTGCTTGGACTCCATGTGCTGCCTCTCAGATGGGGAAACAGCATGCGCACCTCTTAGAAGAAGGCTGGAACGACTAATGGGAAGATGTAGTCCGACCCGGGTCAACAGGTGTGGAATTTCTCTCGATAGCCTTTGCTGCAGGCGATTCTCCTATAAACTGGAACCCGATGAGCCCGCAGCGGTAGATGTCTAGTGCACCCGCTGCAGGTTGTGTGGATTTAATAGGAAACGCACCTCTGTAGTGTGCTTTTTTTCACCCTAACATATTAGTTTCTTGTTTCTTTTTGAGTGTTTTCTTTCGGGGCGGGGAGGGGGGGAGGTGGGTTTCCAAAGATTGCTGTTGAAACGGTTACTTGGGCTTAGTACAAGATCTCGTGTTGTATCTGTCGTAATTTTTCTTAATTTGTACGTTCTTCTCTTTAGAAAATCGAGCCGCGACGCTGTGCGTGTTCTCCTGATTGTTGATTGTCTTTGCCTTTGCAAATCAGGAGGCGTTTGTAAAATCAGGAGACCGTTGCCGTTGGTTCTTGATGTACGACCTCCAAATATTTACCTTGGAGTTTGCGTTACTTCTGAAGATATGCAAAAGGCTCACGCTCCCCGCCCTTAGTAGAACTTCATTTTGTTGGCGGGAGAGCCTTTAAATCTTTCAGCTGGTGATCGATAGGAAAATTAAATATTTTTGTAGTATAACTTTTATAATATATTTCTAAAATCCAAGTAATTGACAGCCGAGAGCCTTTAGGGTTCTAAGAATTTTAAGCCTTTTTTTCAGTTTTAGAAGGTATCTCGTCAAAATCGTGAGTGCCATTGGAAAGCGTGCGCTAAATAAATGTTTGCCTCCTCAAACCGTATGTGTGAAGCAAACCTCGATGGGTTTGAAGCCCATGAGAGTAACCGGAAACGGTGTTGAGGAGCCGTCCGGCTCTTGCAGCAGGCGTGGCTGTGATAAAAGCTCTCGCTACGTCTGCTCACGTGCCATCTCCCCGTTTCCCGGTAGAGAGGGTTAGCTAAGGAACGCGGAAATATTTGGGGGTAGAAATAAAAATGGTCTTTTGTACGTCGTGATCTCTCCCTCACCGGAATGATGTCATAGTCCTTCATCACGCCAACGGCAGGCCCGAAGAAGTTTCGCCTCCCGCGTTTTCGAGGGGACTCGTTTCGCATTTGAGCAACTTTGTCCCTTGTGGTTAAAGGCCATGGCATCATTCGTTTGGTATCAGATCTGGCGCGAGTCATTTTCACTGATGCGCTTCCTCAGTTCTGAATTTTACCCTGCGGTATTGACTCGGTATGAAGCTCATCTCTGTTTTCAGACTTGCGTGGTGCGCGGTGTCCGTGGTTTCGGTCATTTTCGCTCTCTTGGCTTGCTTATGAAAATTAATTTAACGTTTCTGCCAATCTAGGACGTGATTATGCAAAATGTTTCTGTCCGTACAGAGAAATGAACTGTTACGATCGAACGCATTTCTGATCAAAGCTCTCGCTGTATAGAAGGTGGGCACGATGTGCAAAATAAACGGTTTGATATGATTTTTAATCTACGAGGTGAGCGTTTAATTGGTCTAAAAATCAACGATTGGGTCGCGGTCCCGCTGAGTGTTTTGATTTTCGCTTGTCCTCTGGCAAGCTGTGCTTTGCCAATGAGGAGCTCGGCAGCTTTTTCACTTTGCTCTTATCCGAGAAGTGTAGATTTTTAGCTGAGGTTTGATTTAGTAACGCGCAGTCTTACGAGGTAGGTGTTCTGGGATTGATTTGCCGCTACGCCTTTGCGTTTTTACTGCTTCCTCCTTTTCCGCCCGTTTTGATTTTCTCTGAGCGCTTCAAAATACTTATTGAAGATGAAATCATATTTGACAGAATACGAAGCACTTTTGGAAGACTGCTTTTTCTCAGGCGTCTTGTCTGTTTACCTGTGGCTGTCACACAAAGTTCCATCTAGCTGAATAATGTTAGCGTTGCTGGAACGCGCAGGCGCACGCATTAACCGAATATGCAAAACTGTGGTGGTGCTGTGCTAAAGGCCTGAAGGTATGTCGGTTGTGCTTCTGCCTCTGGTTGAAATGGCTCCTAACCCTCTAGTTTCACTGGATTTTGCGAGCGGTAGACATAGAAACAAGGCGCTTTATTGCATTTCAGTCTTGTTTGCTTCTTGTCTTATGTGCTTTTTTCCACTGTCTTCCGCTCGTTTCACTCAGCGTTTACAGCTAAACGCTAGTCTAAAAGTCAAGGTGCTAGCAGGAAATTAACGTTATTCCCGCGCGCTTTCCGCACGGTACGTGAAAGTTTTGTTTTAGTAACGTACTAATGGCTTAAGTCATGTGCGACGACGGCAAGCTCTGAAAAGATGAAGGGTCAGTTAAGAACTCTCTCTGGGGATTTATAAAACGCCTCTAAATTTCAAGCTTGGCGTTTGTTTGCCAGCTCGATCTGCCGTGATTGTACCTAGGAGTCGGTGGCTTCGGAAGATCGCGCAGTCCCGAACGGAGCGCTTTGTGCGCTTCTGCGGTATGAAGCGGCTTCTTATTCCACCGAGAGGTAGCTGCAAATGGTTGTCATTGGATGAGGCGATGCCTGGAAACGCCTCGTCCGTGAGAGCGCTGTGCCACCGGGATCGCCTATTGAGATGATGTTGACGTAAGACAGCTTGCGTTGTCTTTTTGGTGCGCTCCCAGGGTTCTGTCGAAAACGTGCTGCTGGTATTCTGTCAAATATGATAGCTGACCGTGAAATCAAACGCCGTATCAAATTTTGATCGAAACTGTGATTCGTCCAAGTTGTGTAAGTGCTTAAAGGAGTAGAGGGCCGCAGGAATATAGTCTCTTGCAGTTGCCTGACTGTTTTTTGGGTGCGTGCAGGAAGCAGTTTCCACAGGTTCATTCACCGATTAGAATGTAAAGGGTGTGCCGTAGGATGGTAGAGTGCACGTCTGTGTGTCTGTTCCGTTAAATCGACTGTCGCCTTGTCGGTCGCTAAAGTGCTAAGAATGTTGCATCGCGTATACTCTCGTGTGAGGGAAATCGTTACCGAATCGTTTGGATGGCCCGTTAGTGCTGCTCTAGGCAAGGCAGCGCGTGCAGAAGTTCAAAAGAAGCAGCAGATGACTGACGGAGGTGAGTTTGGAGGCTAAATTCTTTGTATTTGCCTTTCCTGCCTTGCTACCTTTTACTTTCCAGTTTTTCACAAAGGATCCTACAGTATCGCAGAGAAGGAGCTCGACTGAGAACAACGGCCCGTACGTAGTATTTAATCACCGGTAGAAGTGGTTCCTCTTTGAGAGAGGGACGTTGCTAGATCGCATCTGAATCGAAAGCTGTGACCGCTGGAACGTTTCTCCCGTTGCCATAAACGGAGGCTTAAAGGGAACGGTCAGTGGTGAAATAAGTTCCTGGGTGTAGGTGAGGCGGCGTGAGTTGAACCTGCCCGGGACCGCAGGCAGCCCGGGAGGCTTAACGTTAGAACGCCAATATATTGGGCTACCGCAGTCAGCTGCGCGGACCGCGCGGCTTCACGAGAAAGAGGTGATGCCAAAGTGAAATCGTAGCGTTCGCGGTCCCTGAACTTACACGTGCCGGATTCGGTTTCAATTCCTGGGGCACGATAGTCAAACTGTAGTGGTAAAGCTGGCCTGGAAAGCCCTGGTTATTTCGGTTCATAGCAATGCCGATCCTCCGGAGTTGTGAGTGCGCTGTAGCTTGCTGGCCAACAGAGGCTTGTGAGTCGTGCGGTCGATTGGAGTGTAGTTGCCAGAGTTTGAATGAATTGCAGGTGTCTACATGAAAATAATTGATTAGTTTTAAAGAGTTACGTTGACCTTTTTGTTTGTTTGTTTTTGTAGACTTTTCTCCTGACCTCTGAATTATAGGTTCCCGGTCAGCCAAACTTTTCTTTTGTTGTCGCTTTAGATGGTGGAGTTCGTCGGATCCCTTCTATGCCAACGACAGAAGCTTCTTGACTCTCTCCGCACTGGACTCGCCCGCTTGCTAACGGGGACGGTTGTAAAAGCCTTGTGGAAGCTCACGTACCTGTAGCGGGGCTTGCGGCGAGTTCAGTGCCGTATCCCTGCCCTAGAGAAGACTCGCGTGACCTAAACCTCTGAAAACCGACCGTGGTTTGTCATGTGGCCTAGCGTAACCTTCATCTGGACAGTAATTGCTTCCGATAATTTTTCTAGCTGTCTCCCCAAGTTGCTAAATAATTTTTAAGAAGAAACGCTTTTACCTCGGACTGTCGAATCGCCTCTCTTGCCGGATTAGCAGATCGGAATCCAGCAGTTGCGACTTGACGTCACTGTAGCCCGGTGGCAAAATGTTTCTCCTCCCGAATCTGGGCGATCCAATAGAACTGAATATACGCGCTGAAAATACAGTAAGCTGTGTTTTTCGTGGTGACCCTTTGCTTCGCTTCGCTTCACGTACGCGCGTTCCTTTTGAGCTGTCTTTCGCGGCTGCTGTCTTAGTAGCTTGCAGAGCGGTCTTGTTTTTTCCGTGGACGGTTGCTACGTTCGGAGAGCCATCGGTTTAGTCCTTTTTGAGAGGGAAACGCGATTCAGATATTTAGGCTGGTTAATGGACGGCAGGATGGTTTTCAGCACGTTGGGAAGGACTGTCAACTTCCGGACCATCTTGTGGAATAACAGGGGAAAGAGCAGGTCGCTGTAGAACCCGGTCATTTTTCATTACGCCCCGGCGTCTTGTTAACGGTTATTGACCCTCACGTGGGGAAATGGGAAAGAGAAAACGGCGAAGTTGATTGTGCGGGTGTCTGCCTGGTGTAAATGTTTTGAGTAACGCATCCGTTTCACGTTGGGGAATTTATTTTTGCGTGTTGCGTTCTTTCTAACGTGTTTATGTTTGGTCCCGTTGTGCTTGGAAGATATAAGTAATGCTGAATTATCTTCATATCTCTGAAGGAGCTGACGCACGGATGGCAATGTTTTGATAGCTAAGTATGCCAATGAAAGCGCGTTGCGCGGGCGCAGCTTTGAACGGTTCGTCTTGCAGGTACATCTTGGTTCCGGTCTGAACGTGTCTGCGCGTTTGGGCCCGGGTAGCCCCATTTGTCCCTTCGTTCCGCTAGGAGTACTGAACCTCCCGGTTGTATTTAGATGCAGGAGGTGAAACGGTGGCGCTCCTGCCGGCGCAATCTGTGGAGCCTTGCCTTAGGTGGCCCTCAGCTCTAGGTTGGCGGAGACGCTGCTGCTTCTGGACTTGGGCTTGAGAATGCAGCTTGAGGTCAGTCTCTGACGTGGAGACCCCGTCTGTATTGGAAGAATCTTCCTCTCAGACAGTTAAGCAAGTCAAGCTGCGCAGGAAGAGTCTGTCTTGGTAGAATACACTGTCAATGGAGCTTAGCCCCTAAATAGCACCTGAAGTTACCTGTTAAATAGAGATGCGGTGAAGCTCAGGGTTTGGACCGAACGGTATCAGCTGCTCCCCGCAAGGTTCTGATAACGGTGTGAAGCGCAGTCTCCCGGCCAAGACTTCTTTTTTCGAAATTCGCAGAAAAAATCCTAGCCTCCTGATGTGAGTGCTCAGTCTGTTGCCAGAGGAGCCTTTGTCCCCCTTGCTACGACTTGCCGAAATCTCCCGCGTGCCGTGAGCTGAGGGAGAAGAGGCGTGCAAGAGGTCCAGCGCTCCCGGCGTCGCACGCGGCGGGTGGTCCTTCCTGCAGACAGCTCTGCTCTTTGTTGTTCTTGTGCGTGCCTGTAACTGGCGTTATTTCGGTTTTCCTCTTAAGCCTCCTGTCATTGTTGTCCAAATAAACTGAAGGCTGCCAAAAGAGGTGGCATTTCCAGATCTCATTTGTAAAGGCGGCGTTTACTCGATCAAGCAACTGTCGTTGCAGCTTTGCTTTGAAACTCGTAGCGGCTCGAGCGTGCAACGGGCGCGTTTCTTCTTTCGCTGGCATAGATGAAAGTGAATTCACGAATGGGTTGGAGAAGCGCTGAAAATGAATTATGAAAGAGAAGGCGAGACAGAAAATGGAAGCGTGGCCAACTCTCCGGTGTCGATAAATGTACGTGCAGCGTTCGGTGAGTTAGGCGCTCGCAGCGCAGCTTACGCACGACAACTGCAGTCGTACGCTACGTCCCCACGTGGAGCGTCCGGATCGCGGTAAGAACGCGTCGTCTGAAAATCGACTCCTGCGAACTGCGTGTAACGGGTATGAAGATGTCACTCGATGACTCTCTGTTGGGTGAGAGAGACCTGCTCCGAGGTCTGGTTCCTGCGCGGGGATGCAAGGAGCGGACTGTCAACTCTGGTCAGCGAGGAGACGTTTGTCCGGATACGCCCAAATAAGAGAACGGGCTCGGTTTTTGCCTGCTCTTCTGCCTGTCTGTATATGCTGGCGTATGTGAGCCGTTAATAACGGTTTTCTTCGCAGCGGTTTCTGCTTCTGAGGCAGTCTTTATATGCCCGGGATACCTGAGAAATAAAGCAGTTTGTGGCTTCTTTTCCCTCTTCTAGTCGGATATCTGCTGTTTAGCTGCGTCTTTTAGTTCTAAACTGCAGCGTGTCGCTTCCCGAAAGTGCTTGTTTGTCCGCGTCAGCCGTCACGTTCTGATCGTCCCGTCGGTTTGGGTGGCCTTATGACCTCGTTAGTCTGTGCGGCTAGGATATCATTTACGGACGTCTAAGCTGTGAAAAACTTATGTATGGCGGGTGGCTGAGACGGCGATACGCAGCCCCGGCGCCAAGCGTTTATAGTGGTTCAGTTCTGGGCATGTACGTATTTTGGCCTCTACCGTACCAATATGTTGACTGCATTTGTGCCAAAGGAGCGCAGAGCTGTATTCGAAGGGTAACTGACGTGCGTTATGTGTTTCTTCAGAACCTTCCGTCTCTTCCTCTTCTTCTTCCTTTTCTCGCTGCTGTCCCTTTTCGGTGACCTTACAACCGCTGGGAAGAAACACGCGTGTAAAGCGTTCGGGGGGAACTTCGGACGCCATCGGCCTGCTAAGGTGTATTTTTCTGTTTGCGGTAAATCTCGGGCAGTAATTTCTCGTTTAGTGGAGCGTCGAATCGGTTTGCGTACGGCCAGACTTTAGGTCTGACGAGTCCCGCAGGTGGAAAAAGTGACTGTGTTTTGTTGATGTTGCAAATCGTTTCACCTTCCTTTTGCTCGAGGAAAGAAGCTTTCGTGTGCCTCGTTGCTAAAGCGTGTGAGGCGGCCGCTGGGTCCGTACCCATAGAGTGCTATGCAAAAATGACCAAAAATGCGTAATCTAGTTTAACGGTGGCGGTATTCTTTTTGATCTGGAGTGAACGGGTGAGGAGGAATTTGCCACGCGGAGGAAACGTCCACGCAGAGGATTCGGAGGAGTGTTTCCTGTACGGCGGAAAAGCCTACGGTAGACGTCCTTGGTTCGCTAAAGCAAGAACGGTGTTTAGTGAGCCTTTACTGTGCGGCGTCTTTGACAGAGCACCTTCTCTGCAGCTACCCTCCGGATAGGATGGAGTCTTCAGCTGATCCTAGTTCCTGTTTTAGGAAAAGTGGCGTTTGATGTTCGTTGTTTAGGGAACCGTCGTTTTGGTTGCCGAGTGTATGGGTTTTTTTTTTTTAGGGAGCAGCGGAAAAGATGGAAAAGCAGATGGGAAATGTTCTGTGTTGTTTCACAGACTAAAATGTATGTCTTGTGCTTAACGTGTCCTGTACGTTTTGGGGAACGGTGGGGGGGAGGTGGGGCAAAAATGCCAAGGGAGGAGTGCTGAAACTGTGGGCGTTAACGTTTGCAGGATGATTTGTTGGGTTTTTTTGGTGCAAAAGGTTATTTGAGGAAAGACGCTGCAACCTACGGTGTGTATTAGGCACCTGTGGTTTCTTAGTGGAAACGTTTGGTAATACGTTGGAACGTGTGAAATTTTTGCAATACAGACGTCATCCTATCTTAAAAAAAAAAATCTTGCTTTTCCAGTGTTAGAAATGTCTCAAAGCTGTTGACTCGGGAGTCTGTGTTCTTTCTAATCGTTTTGCCTGACGTTTTCTATACTTCTGAAGGACGCAACGGTATCGGTGAAATTTGGTGTTGGAAAGTGCTTATCTGGATGCTTCTGAACCATTTATGTTGAGACCGTCTTGGGTTTTTTTAGTGTAGAATACCCAACAGCTGCGTGGCCGTCGCGGAACGAGGAGGACTGTAAAACGACGCCGTAGCAATTGCGTTTGAGGTACGATCCCGGAGCGGGGCGAAGCGTTCGTCGTGGAAACGCGGACTGATTTTTTTTTTTTTTTTAGCCTTTTTTTCCTGTCCCTCGATTGCCTTCTGGGTAGCCCTTCCTTTTTTGCAGCAGGCTGTTTTTTGCAAAACGTAGGGTGTGTTTCCGCAAACGTGGTGGTGGTTGGTCGTTTTGTATGTTCTGTAACGTTTGCTTGCGGTGGCGTGACTCGTCGGGTGTCCGCTCCCCGTGTCGATGACCTCGTTTATAAACAGGAGGAGGAGGGAAGACGGGCCGCTCGTGGCTGTAGCGGCTCTTTCCGTTGCTCGCCTTAGCAACGAGACGTTTGTGCCTGTAGTTGCCAAGCTCCGGCTTTCCACAGCTGAAATCCTTCAGCTAAGTGCTGCTCGTGGAGATGTCCGGAACTGTGCAATGGAGAGAGACCCCCCCTGTGCTGTCTAGAGCTTCTGCGGCTTCCGTTGAAGTGAGCGTTCTCATCGCTCTGAAGTGGTCGCCTCGCTCTAGCTGTTGCCGCGCTATGATGTTGTGTGACGGTAAGCGTACGCGATCGTCATTGCTGTAGATACCGTGGTTTTGCGGTTGTTTCCCGTATGTAAAAATGCATGGACGCGAATGAAACCTGAGGGACCGTGGGCCAAAGAGCTCTCCAGATAAGCTGCAGTGGTTTGGGTGGGGCGCGCTGCGAAGAGCAGCGCGGTTCACAACGTAAAGGGCGACCTGGCCGAGAGAATCCCTGGAACGCGCCTGAATGTGTGGCGGCACGTGTTATTTTGTTACGTGGGAGCGCTAAAGGGAGTTGCTTCGTAAATCGTCCAGAGTCTGGTCAGTCGCCCCTGTTCAGCGTTGGCAGCGGGATGAAAGATGTTCTGTGGGGCACGTGGTTCAGAAAGGCAAAAGCGGTTAAAAACCGGGCTCGCTTGGAGGTATAGCTAGGATGTTGTGACTGCACCCACGAATCTGTTTTTAAAATTCCCAGTTATGGCCCCATTAGACTTCTCACGTCTCTGGTACCTTGCCCAAAGAACAAGCGCAAGTCGATTGTATTGCAGTGGGGAAGAAACAGGAGGAAGTCGAGGTGGTTTCTTTTTTTAAGGGAAAACCGGAACGGTACCTGTGCCAGAAGCATCGGAGGGTACCTTTGCGGTGATGTTGATCTCACTCCCTACTTTTAGGTAAATGAGGGGTCTTGTCAGCTGGAAACTGTCGCAATAATGAGTACAAAGAATCTTGGACCTCTGACACTGTGGCTGCCTCACATTCCTTTTAGACTTTCTGACAGCACGTCAGTATGCTTGCTCGTTGTACAGCTCTGTCAGTAGATGTTGTTTTAAAAAGCAGTTTATGGAAAGTATATTTATGAAATAAAACTTCCACTTCTAGCTGAGACGTTTTGTTAATTATTGCAAGCAGCTACGAGCTGTGCGTGTTCTGGCGCTTTGCGACGGCCCGGTTAGGAACACGGAGAGAGTGCCCGGCCGACCGCGCGCGCCAAGTCACGCTGGGGTCATCGGCACTGACCCGGGCTGCCCGTTCTTGCAGCCCCTCATCAGCCTTCCAGAACTTGAGCGGTACAGACGGGTCTTGCTTTCCCGAGAGCTTTTGTATCGCAGGTTACTGAAGTAAGGGCAACGATAAATAATAAAAAAAAATCTTCTCCCAAAGTTGTTATTTTCATGCCGCTGCAGTCAGCTGCTCCCAGCGGCAAGGGAAGGCTGGAGCCGGGTGATGGCTCCTTGCCACGTGCAGGAGGGAGCGAGCGAGCGACGCGTCAGGAACGGACCAAATGGCTTGTAGGAAGTCATAGTCTAGGGTCCTTAAGAGAAAATCAGGGGCGATGGAGCAGGATGTGCTTCAGTCTTTACTGCTAAGGCCACCCCCAGGGAATCCTCGACCGTGGGGACAAGAGAGGAAGGCTGGAGAAAGGAAGACTCTCCCTTGGTCGAGGAGGATCGGCTTAGAGATCTTTTAGGCAGACCTGATGGCTGCGAATGCCTGGGCCCTGACGGAACGCC